TTTTACTCGCCCACCTTTTGGGTTCCCGCAAAAAAAAAAAAGGGGGGTAAAAAAAAAAAAACCGGTACCCTGGTTGCGGAGTTCACGAAGTGATTTGGCTTTTTTTAAAACGTCGTTGCCAAGGGAGGAAAACCCGATCCCGATGGCAAACACCAAGGGGGGGGAGGGGGGCGTACTCATTTGTTGCTTGCCGTAGTCATTTGACCATTGACCACGCGTCCCTTTCGAGACGGAGCACCGTTCCTACACCTACTAGAGACCCCACCAACATTTGGGAGCTTTTTACGTTTTTCCCACAAACTCCATAAAAATTTTTTGCACTTTTTTTCCCCGTCCTTTAGGCCCTCAGGGGGGGGGGGGGGATAATTCGTTGCCACGACGACATGCATGTAACGAGCACGTGAAAAAATCGAGGTTTAGCGAGCCAACGGCCGGTCTTGTGCATCACCACGCGTCCAGGCTCGCGACTTGAGCAATAGCCAGCATCGCGAAACAAAATCTCGGGGATAAACACCAGTTCTCGCCGACGCGCAATCTCGTGTGCTGTGCTTGCGGGCGGCCAAAGACATGCGACAAAGAAAAACACATGCAACCACAACCACCTGCATGGGGAAAAGCACACACAAAAGAATTGCTAATTTACTGCCAAAACCAACATCCTTCAAAGCACGCCAGGAAACCCCTCGGACTGACTACCGAACAAATGACTGATGTGTCTCACCTAGATCGAGGAGCCCGTAGTTGGTGCCCACGTGCTCAGGGCCGAATATGTCGGCCGTCAGCGCTAGCACCAATGAAAACATGCTCCCGTAGCAACACCCCGCGGCCACGCAGAGAGGGTACAGGAAAGATCGGATCCTGGTTTTCCCAGCAGCAGCAGCAGCAGCAGCAGCAACAACAAAGAACAAAACAGAAAGGGAAGAGGGTTTTGCGCAAAAATAATTGGTGTAATTGAACAAGTCGGGCTTGACACACACACACAAAGACGATCAGAGAGTAGGATGCGCTATCTATTATATACACCAGTGATGAGGAAGGCCCCTATGTATCGACACATCGACACCGGTTATTTCCCCGATAGCGCAAGAATGTGCTTCCAGCGATAGAGCCCGGGGTACAAAACACGCCACCCTTTTTAAGTACCCTGGAGTTAAGAAACTCAGGCTCAACGAAGAGATGGTCTTAGTAACTTTACCATAAGAGCACATGCTTGGCTGCAAATCCTACGCTACAACCTCTATTGTCGACGTTGGATAACCCCACGGACAACACAAGACAAGAGCCTCGTGCAATAGTACAAAAAGCTTCTTGTACAGAGAGCGACCTTGTCTCGTGGCGGTCAAATAGTGCCAATGTCCGGGATAGTGTCGTTTTTTTCGGCGGGCACACACTGAAGTTCCGAGTCATTGTCAGTAGCGCCGGTCAGGTAAGTAGCGCCGGTGAAATTTCTGAGCACATACCGGCACTAAGCAGGGACCCCCTCTGTGGGTGGTGGCGACTTCTGCACGGATACGGACCGCTCTGGTCTCCCCATGTTTGCCCTTCCTCAGGAGACAAAACACCAAGAAAACGCTGTCCACAAAAAAAAGACATCAACTGATCGAGTCGGCCGGCGTACCGGATATTTTCCACGGTTGTTTTTTTCCCCGCGTTCTGCGCGTACTCACCCAGCGGCAAGGAGGAAGTCCACGCCGCAAGTGGTTAGTAGCATCGCGGACAAGAGCAACGATCTCGGAAGCCCCGCAGCCACGACTCTGTCTGATATCCAGCCCGCGCTCAGTCTCCCCAGGGCGTTCGAAATCCCAATAAGCGACACCTGAAAGACGAAAACAGCGCAGGTGGGGGGTTGAACTCGATGACGGGGGTGACGGGGAGTTCTGGGCGCCCACACCCGGTTGCCCTTACCTCCAGCGCGCGCCGTGTTGTCTCTCTCTCTCCCGCCGTCTCTGTCAGGCTATCTGTCTGTCTGTCTGTCTGTCTGTCCGTCTCTCTCTGCCATGTGTCATCTCTTCTCTTCTCCCTCGCTCTCTCTTTCGTTCTCTGGCTTCGTTTTCTCCCCTCTCTCCCCCTGGCTCCGCTCTGCCAACTTTGGCAATAAACTAGCCCCAACTCCAAAACAAGGGACGACATAACACCAAAGAAAGGGCAACGTCGCGCGAAACCGCGGTCGATGAGACCGACATAATCAAAACCTCGTCTCTCGAATCCGTTCGTTCCCACTCGCTCACCAGCAAGTCGCTCGAGACCATCCCCAGAGAACTAGCGATGGACGCGACGTTGTTGATGACGACCAACCCCGAACCGGCACCGCAAAAAAAGCCCACGTACAGGGCCCACCATCCCCCATCCTGTGGGGGGAGAGAAAGATGGATGGAGGACGGGGAACCGGACAGGGGAAGAAACACAATATTTCAGACCTGCGCCGGCTAGCTCTAGCTACACCTCGCTGGGCGTGAGACAGAGTTGTTGGGATGCATCCAGGTCTGCGTGCGCCACAACGGGCACGTCGGTTTAAGCTGAAAAATCAGCACTCCCATGTCTTTTGACGTTCGGTTTGGGGTGCCGTTATCCTCTTGGTTCAGCATGCAAAAAAACACGCAAAAAAAATGCGCCGCCCTTGTTGATAAAGAGACACACAGGCGGGCGGACGGGTAGGGGGCGGACCATTCCATTCCGGACCATTCCGACCCAGCAGGAGGCATGAAAGGGGCTCAGCGGAGAAACAAAGTTTTGGAAATAATGTTAAACGCGCGTAACTAATATAAGGCGAACGCCCCCCCCCCCCCCCCCAGCTAGCTTCCCCTATTGATGATCAAGGAGTAAACCTCATCATACATTT